CACACACACACACACACACATCGCCACGTCCTTCCTCCTCCACTTTACCCCGAGAATCTACGAAAAGAAACAAACTTATGTAGGCTTGCGAATGCATGTCCTTTCATCCTAACGTGATTATACCATCCGGTATTTTCGGTACACGTATAGGTACGAACTGTAACAACTGACTGATCACATTCGAGAATCAACAATTAACCCCTCTGTAGTCGATCGAGCCACGAGTCGAATTTAACCCTTAAAAGAACTATCGTCCAAGGGGTGAAACATCAATTCAATGTATAATTTTGCTCAGGAATCTCAGAAATCAATGAGCAAGTGAAATTTTTCGTTGTCGCTGGAACATAATTATCTACAAAGTGTAACATTAACAGCGGTGATTTGTCACGCGATACGACAACGTTAGAAGAAAATCCGCAGGGGATGATAGTGTTTAAGGGTTAAGTGGGCGAGTGAACGTTTCTTCGCGCTATACCTATAGACTGTCGATAAGAATCGCATCAGTGACAATTATAATTCACGTAGGTATACTTGTATATGTGTATATCGTATCGGCTAGCTTTCAGCCCTCGACATCGACGAGAAAGTGTACGTTTCTTTAGGAGGATAAGACTCAAAGACGTTTGCAGCGGCTACGTTTCTTCATCATTCGATAAATTATGGTAGTATCGTTGTGATATTCTAGTTGCTTGGCTGCAAAGTATGCCGACCGAGTGAACGTCCCAATATAACATAAGACGTTTTAAGCTCGTTTCTAAGTACGTTATCCTGTGAATCTTAGAACTTCCTGTAATCTTCGCGATTTACTAGGCGAAGACAAACGATAGAAACGACGTTCTATAATTTATTTTACGTTTACTTCTCTCTCTCTCTCTCTCTCTCTCTCTCTTTCTTTCTCTCAAGCGCAATTACGTAGTTTTAGGAATGTTTTTAGAAATGTTACACCTCCTCAAAATTATCCGTTTTTTTTTTTTTTTTTTTTTTTTTTTTTGTTTCTTTCGTAAGTGTATGCCACTTGTATCTGTTAACGTTTGAAACGTCTACGGAAACGTGGAAAAAAAGAAATGGAGAAAGGATCTTTATCGTTCCTCTTGCATTAAAGGATCCGCTAACACCTTTCGCTGGAAACTTTGACAGAAACTTAGAAATTTCTTTTATTTATTTTCCCATCGCCGGTCACTGCCTTTCTTTGTGTTCGTTCTTTTTGTCCAGTTTCTCTCTCTCTCTCTCTCTCTCTCTCTCTCTCCTTTCTCTTTGCCTCTGTCACTATTCTCTCCCGCTTCTTTCCCTCCTTACGCTGTCGTTGTCTGCGAAACACATTTTCATTCTCCCCTGATTTTTCATCCTCCGTTTGTTTGTCAATGTGTACCTAGAATTAAAGAAATTAATGGAATTGTGTATTCTCAGTATCCAAACAAGGGCGGCGAATACTGCATACTTATATATATATACATATATATATAATGTACTTCCTAGGTAGAGAGTATTCATAGAATATTTATTCGCTGAAATAAATGGTTTTTCGATGAAAGGTGTACCGCATTTACCCCATTTTTTTCTTTTTTTTTTTCTTTTTTTTTTTTCGTTCTTTTGAAATATTCCTTCCGCTTTTAAAACGTGTTACGTCTCGTTCGTCATTTTCTCCGTTGCGTTCTGTTTTTTCCCCCTTTGTAAATCGGAATTTGAAAGTGGAAAGTGATCTTGGTATTTTAGAAAGCGACAGATATTTTTTTTTTTTTTTTTCGTTGTTTGTAACGATGATGATTTCGTTGTTTGTAACGTTTCTCTCTCTCTTTCTCTGTCTCTCCCTCTGTCTGTCTCTCTCTCTCTAATCATTTACAACTTACCACGATAAACTTTCGGGCCACGATTATTGTTTCACACTTATTTTTGTTCGTCTACTGAACGTACATTTGTTATACAATCTTGCGGACTTTTTTCACCAACGAAAAGATTGAAAACCACGAAACACTATGTCATACTATGTCATGTGTGTGATTTCTGAGTGGTAACGTAAGGAAAAGCGCATGAGCCCAAAATTGTATCGAACGAACGTGCGCACACATGTGCAAGATGGATAATTCGTTTGTAGCCGCTATCTTTTTTTTTTTCTTGTATTTTTCTCGTGGCAAGTAAATGCTCATTCAA